ATGTAATCATTTGACAAGGATTTATTAAGAGCTTACTGTGTACCAAGTGCTGTTTTAAATCCTAAGGACAGAGCAGTGAAAAAGACAGACAAAATCCTTGCTCTCTTGAAGTTTGTATCCTAGTACAAGGGTTGGCCAGCTTTTTCTATAAAGGGCCATATAGTAAATAGATTGGTGGGTCATAAGGTTTCTGGTACAACTACTCAACTCTGCCTTTTTATTGGGAAAGCAGCCATATACAACATATAAATGAATGAGTGTAGCTGTGTTTAATAAAAACTTTATTTACAAAAAGAGATTGCCATTCAAATTTGACCTGTGGGTCATAGTTCACTGAGACCTCTCCGAATGGGCCATCAAACACTTTTTCCAGACCTTGTGAGAAAGTTAATTACCATGGTATTTTCTTTGGATGACCCATTAGCAAATTTATTTTACTACCATTTTAACCAGGCCAAGGTTAAATATTTATTCAGCTCTTCTCTCTTCAAGTTAAAGAGATCCAATGGCTCAACTTTGAGAGCTGCCCTTTCAAATATATTTCTGTCTAGAGATTGATGCTCATTGATTAAACTATTCCTGAACTGGCTTAAATTTGCAAGTGTACAATTGAAGTCCAAACAACAGGTGTGATAGTTCATGACCTCTGAGAGGCAGATGATAAAATGAGATTAGATATGCAAGACATTTATTAGGGGGAATGCCTGTAAGGGAAAATTGGGAAGAAGACAGAGTTGTCTAGGATTACCTTTTGACTAGGATGCAGGTTTAATCACAGGGAAGGAAAGGAGACTGAGTGAAAGTCTTAGCCTCCAGGGCAGTTGTGAGAAAGTTCAGCAAGGCTAAAGGAGAGCCCTTAGCCAAAGTCATGTGTCAGTGGAGTCCAAGAGTTCCCAGGAGCAGATCTAAGTATCAGTACCACAATGTGTCACTGGCCTGAAGTGGCCACTGGGAATTGTGCCCTCTGCACCAACACAGTGATGGATTTCAGAGCACAGCAGCTGGGGCCATTGCTCAATGAAACCCCCATGGTAGGAGACTGGAAAGATACATTTTTACGGCTATACGAAAAGACTCCACAGCTAATTAATTTGATGGAAAGTTAACAAAGAAATGGTGTAGGCAAGTTTTACCTTATTAATTCAATTAAGATAACTGAGGATAAGGATTGTTTTACTTATGGTTGTATTCTATACCGTACCTTTTAAAATCTCTTGCATCAAGGAGATACCCAAAATATACCTTTTAAAATTTAGTTAAATCCCATTCCTTACACAATGGCTCCTATATAACTGGAAATTAGAGGAAATTTAGCCTAAGTGTCTAAGGAACTGCCCCATAGCTACACAGCCAGCAAGTGGCAAGGACAACACCGGATTCCGGGATCACCTGAGACGATGTGTAGGTATGTGGTAACATGACAACAGTTGGTGCTGCCATCAGCACAACAGCAATGGCAGCAGTGTCTTTATCATCTATAGAAAACATTCAGTTGTTACTATTAGGTTCACATTACTTTTGTTTTATCTGATTTCCATCTTACCCTCTGCTTGGACCCATTTAGTGTCTAGAATCTTAAAGAGAGAAAGGAATCCTGAGAAAGGCAGAATACAGAGAGAGCCAGTACAGAAAGCATGTAGACTCTGATGCCAGACTTCCTGGGGTCAAATCTTTGCTCTAACATTTACTATTAGTTGTTTCACCCAGGGCAAGTTGCTTCTGCTCTCTAGATTTCAGTTTTCACATCTTTAAATGAAGGATGGTGACAGTACCTACCCCCTAAGATTTTTATTAAATTATTAAATAGCTAATATTTGTAAAATTGCTTAGAACAGAGCTGCACACCAATTCTTAGAGGTGAATTTTAAGGTAGTTGGTCCATTAGTGTGCCTCTAATCAAAACTGGCCTGTGGTAGAAGCCAGAAGTGGACTTCCATGACAGGAAGGACATGAATAATGTCTGAAACTAACCCTTTCATAGTGCACACTCAGAAAGAGGAACTGGAAGTAAAGGAGATGTTGGCACAAACTGATAACAGAGTGAGAAAAACACTGCAAGTGAGACTAAGGAGGAAGGCACGGGCATGGGGCTGGCGCCTGACTCTCACCGCCTTGGCTGGCGGGGTTATTTAGATGTGCTCATTATCTGTTTCTTTTCTGCTTATGATGCTTATTGAACACACAAGTATTTTTAAATGGCATTGCTGTAAAAATGTTTCTGCCACCTTTTGTTAAGTTCAAGTCTAGAAGGTCTAGAGAGAGGACCAGAAAGCAATAAATTACTTATCTTTATAATATCATCATGTAAAAGTTAGAACATGAAAATATATTGCCACACCACTGTTGTTAAGTTCCTAAAATAACCGAGAACCTGAAGTCAGTTTAGGAAAAGCAACACATACCTATGTGAAACAAAGTAAGATTAATATGGTAGCAAAAACCTAGGATGAGTAGGCTTGCATAGCACAAAAGGATCTACTGGTCCTTTTTTTATAAAAATACTTAATATACAAGAATAGAGTGCATTTTAAGTTAAGGAATAATTTAGGATTCATTTTGTAACTTGTTCCTGCATATCTGTATTTGAGTGCACTTGAGTGGTTATGTCTAAGTAGAACATGTTCTGTCGCAAAGGATCGACTAAACATCCCATATACACAAAGGTATATACATTTGCATGAAAATTTTTTGGAGCATCACAGCTTAACAGACAGCATAGACAGTTGGAAGACATTAAAATGAAGATGAAAAGAACACCCAGGATTTACTTCTTAAGGTAGGACATAGCTAGTCTGAGCCATTGTCTTCCTTCTCTACCTCCCTCTCATTGCAAGGTCTGATAGATTTGTGATTTTTTAGATATGTTCTATGTTTTAGCTATCTTAAAATTCTTCTTGGTGCACCCAATAAACTTTCATTGGCCTTTAAGGGCTATTTAGTTTTAGCTGTTCCCCATAGAGAGAAGGGTTTTTTTCTATGAATTTTCTCTACTATTTTCCATAAAGTACATATCTCTTAGCCTTAAGGATCCAGAACAAGTTGTTACCTCTTAAAATCTTATATAGCATGCATCTTAATGGTTTGTGGAGAACAGTATGCTAACAGTGGGGTTTCCCCTGCCGTCCCTCCCCAACTCCAATTCCTAGGTGAAAAGAGAACAAAAACAACTCAAAAGGATTTGGGGGATAGAAAAAATAAAACCCTGCCATGTAGATCATTAAAACTTATAACATAAATGCATAAAAATTTCAAATGTTCACTCAGGTGTGGTAGTATTAATTGTGTTGTTCCAGTTTTTGAATATATAGACTGCTATGTAGGAGATGGTGAGTATTCTGTTCTTATAAAAACAAGAGAAAATACACATCATTTAGACCACCAGAAGTCAATGTTTGCAGATCACCAAGCTTGCTTGGTATGATGATAAATGATTTAAATGAAGTCTCATACTTTTTAGTTATAATACGCAGTCTTCCCTTCCCCATCACCTATGGTTATCAATGACAGTGTGCAGCAAAAAATATCTTCCAAAGCCCATGTGATTTACTGCTCCAATGTAATCCACATTTAAGTTCTTATTTAATTATTAGCATTACTAATCAAGAGGGATAGAAAAAGAAAGAAATGAGAATGCTTCTATCTGAGTGCCAGATTCAATTCACTAGCTGTATCAATATGGGAAAACTCCTCAAACTTTTCTGACCTGTCTGCTTTAAATGGCTTTCATAAAAATCATTTGTACCTGGGAAAGTTGTCTGTGTAATATATAATTCTCTACCCATACAAATCATCATTTTTCTTTATCTTTAAATATCATTATATGATCAATGATGCCATTAACAGAAATGAAATAAAATAGAAATAACATTGCATCTTATTTTTGAATTTATATCGCTAAAATATTTAAACAAATAGGCCATTAGACTGAGGTGGCTCTAATGCCTTGGTAACCTACGTAAGTAAATCAAAGCCTGAGCCAGAGTCAGTGCATTTAAATCCAAGAAAATGAAAGTTAGGAACAATCAATTACAGCCAAGGAGGCCCCCTCAAATAAGGCAACTGCTTAGGCCATAGTCAATCAAATAATTTCCTTGCTTTGCTTCTGCATCTTCTCTTTTCAAACCTTCCCCTTAGCTCCCACAGTAGACTGTTCCTAACCACTTTCAGCTAAGCACTGCTCAACTTGAGTTGATGCATGCCCAAATAAATTCTTGAAAATTTTGATGAGCCTCAGTGTATCTTTTAAAATATATTTCAGCTTTGCTTCCAGAAATCAATTACAATGAGATAAGACCCATCCTCTGGGCTTCAGAATGGCAAATGGAGTAACCAAGAGATCATCTTCAAATCAACAAAAATATTGGCATTAAACTGTAATGGTAGGTTTGTGACTGATGATTAACAGGCATTTCACTGATTTGTACTGAAAGAAATATGACTGTACATAAAGAAGTATGTCATTGTCCAGGGTGGGATGACACAGATATTACGTGGAGAAAGAGTTTTAATGGACTTCTCGTTGTAAAATCACGCTGAATAAAAAAATCTACACATTGCTGATCAGTTCATTTGGGTTTTCCTGCCTGTCTACTGACTGTACCAAACCTCTGCAGGTGCCCTTGTGGCCAGTGTATTACCAGAGACGAAGCAGGACAGGTAAAAAATGCACATCAAAGGCACCAATTTGACCCAAACGGCTATTTTGTTTGACACATATCATATCACAGTTGGTAGCTGCAGTGTTTATTTGAATTTCAATGCTGATTAAGCCCTTTGCCAGTCTTGTTTTTGCAAACACATACAAAACTAAATATACCAACCCTTGTTAAATCAAAAGAAACATGCATAGCACGTCAGGCAGTCATTGTTATTACCAATAAACAAAAAATGTGTATGTTTCCCCAATCTCAGTGGCGAAATGTGCTCTGTGTTTATAGAGTAAGCTAAAGGGGGAAAAAAATCTCCATTGAGAGTTTGTCGACTCTGGCCCAGGGCTGTACCTGGGTCTCAACATCTGTCAGCTTTCTGGTCTGCTCTGCGGTCTGAGAGAGGAGGCTGGTTCCTATCTCGAGCATGGTGGCCGTGTGGTTCTGAACTGCATTCTGCTGTATCTGGGCCATCTCTGACTTCATATTTTCCACAATGTAGTTCTCAATCTGCAGGAGATAAAGGACAAAACATACTACATTATAAGCAAAGTCTCTCGGAGCATGTGATATTTACAATGACAAAACAAGACACAGCTGGCAAATCAGCCATCTGGCAGGGATCCTCTGCATTTCTGGGAGCTGGGGAAATGAGAGCCGAGTACACAGGAACCCAGTTGCTAACAAACTCCTAATAGACTGATACATATATAATCATCACAACCATAATGAAAATTTGTACTTGGATAGTGCTTTCTTATTTTCTACAACTCCTTCAACCCTCACAGCAAAGATGTGAGTTAGGCACAGATGGCCTCATTGTTTTTTGTGGGTTTTTTTGTTTGTTTGTTTGTTTTTATTTGTAGCTGAAGAAACAGAATCAAAGGTCAATGATGAGCCCACGGTCACCCAGCAAGAATGCAGCAGTGTTCACACGATAATTTAAATCTAAATTTTGGTTCTCTGGTCTTTTCATTATAGCATACTGCCCACTAATCTCTGAGAAAAATTCAGCCTCCCGCTTTCATTCTGTAATGAAAAGTAAAAGACCATGCTGGGTTAGGGGAATTATACAAGGAGTGGAAGGAGGGCATATGCCCAAAACATAGGCTTTTAAGGGAATAGTAAAGTACAGGCAACAGTATACGAAATGAGCTACAGAGCCACAGAGCCAGCTAAAACCATTCTCAGCGCTCCTTTGAAAGATCAAAAATAAATAAATAAATAAATAAATAAATATATAAATAAATAAAATAAACAAATAAAAAGGCACTGAAAGTATAACCTATACAGCAGCATTTGCCCTCCTCGCCTTGGGTAACATTTAGTCCTCTATGGTGCCATCTTAGAGAATACTATGGTTGTAAAATAAATTGTACCATGGAGGCCAGGAGGAATTATTAAGTGACTCACTAGGAGGGAGGCTGCTAGGCACTGGAGAGAATAAAGCCAAGCATAAGCACTGCTTGAAAAATACAGAAGAAGCCTACACCTCCCCGTCAGTGCACTTAATTCTCCCCCACCACCGTGTGGTGACTACATTTTATTACCCAATTACACATATGGGGAAATTGCATCCCAGAGAAGTCAGGTCCAAGGCCACACACCACAAAAACAGCCAGACTTGGATTTGAGTACTAAAGTCCTTAACTTTCATACCAACACTCTTAACCACTGATAACTCTGCCAAGTTGTGCTTCACAAACCAGGTTCCAAATCATTAACAGCTACGTGATTTTTACTGATTTAGTGGACCATAATACATCCACTATTTTATAATCCATAGTAACATTATTGTCATGTAATAAATATAGTCTAAAGCCAAATTCCCCTTTGTGAAACTTTGACAGCTCACTTTCTAACACCATCTCTTGCTTATTTCTATTTATCAAACATAAATCTGCCCCAAGTGAAAGAAAATGAAAGGTTAGCATCAAACTCATATTGTTATTTTATTTATTTTTTTAAGAATTTATTTATTTGACAGAGAGAGACACAGCGAGAGAGGGAACACAAGCAGGGGGAGCGGGAGAGGGAGAAGCAGGCTTCCCATGAAGCAAGGAGCCCGATGCGGGCCTCGATCCCAGGACCCTGGGATCATGACCTGAGCCAAAGGCAGATGCCACCCAGGCGCCCCTCAAACTCATATTGTTATTAATAAATTCTGGCTACATCCCTGGTCAATATAAAGTAACTCCCCTTCATTCTTTATTCCGAAATTAGAAGTAGAGGGGGAAAAGATCAACCTACAAATAAAAACAAATACAACATAGGTTAGAATAAATATCTAGAAATTATCTTGACAAAACACAAGGTCTCTAACTTGGCTTTATTCCAATTGCACAAACATATTTAAATAACGATAGAAAGGTAATGGAAAGGAGGGTAGGTCAGAGCAGCAGACATCTGTGTCATGTTTTCCCTTTCCTCATAGCACCTTTTAACTTTCTTTTGGGAAGTTATGAATGGGTGTATTTTCAAAAATGGCAGGTGAATCTCCATCATGGAGGTGATACCCACCATAGATAGCTGACATTTTTCAATTGTCTATGTGGTAGGCATTGAACTGAGTGCTTTCTTTTTATAACAGTACTTAAACCTTGTAATAAGTTTATGTGGTAGGTATTGTTAGAGCTGCTTTACAAGTAAGACTATTGAGGCCTAGAAAATCCACAGCAATTTCCCCAAGAGAAACAATAAGAACCCCAATGCCAAACTCCACATTCTCAATCTCTAATCTATTCAACTTAGCACTATTTAATTACCCTGTGCATTTTATTGTGTAGCTCCTCAACCTTGTGTATCTATCAAAACTATATGAGAAGCATTTTAAAAATGCAGATGAAGGTACGGCACACCAGAACTCTGAATCAGAATTTTCAAGGTTATATACTAGACAACAATAAATTTTAACAGCTTCCCAATGTAATTCTGATTTAGGCAAAGACCAGTGCTTCTCAAAGTGTGGTCCACAGAATAACTGCCTATATGAGTCCTGTTTGTGAACAGTCTGTCATGAAATGAAGAAACTGTGCCAGAATGCAAATTATCTACGTCACTAAGCACACTGTTACTACAAATATAGTGTGTGTGTAGGAACAAGACTCTCTCAATGAAGAAAGTGATGCTCTAATGCTTTAATTTATGTTCTGGAGCAAGCTTCTTATCTTGTTTGCAAAATGACAACAATTTCCTTGAGTACCAGTGATTTAGACCACCAAATTTATTCAATGTCATATTCCCTGCTTACCAAGAAACTTCAAATAACAACTCGGTTTCCCATGTAGATTTGTCTAGTGAGAGAGAATTCACTAATCAGTGAGCTCCAATACAGATCTGCTTGATAATTATACAACACTTTTTAAAAGTAGGTTCTATGCCCATGTGGGGCTTGAACTCACAACCCAAAATTCAAGAGATGCATGCTCTACCAAATGAGCCAGCTAGGCACTCCTATACATCAACTTCTTCTGCAGTTGGTTACTGGGAGTTATTTCCCAGAGGTTAACTTGCTCTGGGTGTAATATAATCATATGTTTCAGTCTCCATAAAGGAGGACACCCTCTGGCATAGAGTTACTACATCAAGGTTCAGCTGCTTTGTGATTCTTTCTTTGTTAGCTCCTATCTATTCTGTATTATTATGGTTTTTCTTAACTGTAAAAGTTAACACCAGCAAATCAAAGTAACCGCTTTATGTAGGCGTTCATCACTAAGAGCCTCCCAATTCTGCTGACCCTGTTGCAGCAATATAGTAGGCCTCCAACCTATACTAAAATTCTTATTTGGGCTGCCATGATTAGTAACATATATATAACTCGAGTTAATTATTTTTTAATAAAGCAGGGTTGCTCTCTCTAGGAGTAACTGCCTTTTAATGCAAAAGATAATGGCACATTTAAGAAGCAAAAACCAGATGTAGTTGATTTAAAGGCTGAGGAGGGAGACAGAAGTCAATATATAATGTGAGATTAATAAGGAGGGCTACTTTCATCTTATCTCTAAACATTCCTATGTAGATGTAGAACTGTGAAACACATCTTGATGTGTCATATCAGCCAGGTTCAGGAAAAATTTGTAACAAATTCAATTGTCCTCATATATTCCCTACCCTTTTTGAAAAATATGTTTGCAGAATATGATGGCTACTTCAAGTTTTAATATTTTAGAAACATCTAAGATGTCAATTTTAAGCTTAGAAGTTGCTGACCACAGATCTGAGACATTATAAAGCAGGAGACTCCCAACTGGAAGTATCAAATTATTGACTGTACTGCCATTCTCAGTGTCTGACTCCAGATAAAGTGCTGTCCAAAAGACCAGCAAGAGAACGTAGGATGCCATTTGAAATGAGATAATGAACAATGAATGATGTTTAAAGCAAAGAAATAATTTTAAATTTGTAAAGTGATTTAGTGTTTACAAAAAGCTTTCATACACATTGACTGGATTCTTACACCTTAATCCTACATGGGGAGTATTCACTCTATTATATGGTTTAAGAGATGGAGCAGAGCCTTAGGTGATGATAGAGATGAAAGAAAGGACTCAACTCTACCTTCTGATGTTCCACTAGCTTCTGATTTGGGGGAACTGCTCTATTATTGGACTGGTTGGCTGGTTGATTGGTTGATTAATGAATGACTGGTTTCCTTTTTAGCCAGTTCACTGAGAATTAATTTACACATTCCTTTGAGAAAAACATACATCATTAGAGGGTGATTACTTTATTCTGCTTCACCATATTGGAGGCCAAGTTAATTTGAAGGGAGGTGAGAGGCTCTAGAGCCAGTTATATGGAAAGTTCACTTTACTAGCACTTTTAATGCAATGGATCATTAAAAATCCTTTCATCAATTCCTACCTTTTTTGCTTAGTATGCAATTTATAACATATTTGTTTTCTTCTACCCATTCTATTTCTTGCAACCTATTCTAAAATATAACAAAGAGAACAACAACAACAGCACGCTAAGCCTCTATTAAGGTTAGGTAAATACCTGACTGATTTCCTTGTAACAGTCTAGGCACTGCACTGTTTCCTCGTTTCACTGATAAGGAAACAGGCTCAGGGAAGTTAATGTAAACTGTCTATGATCACACAATGAGTGGGTGAAAGAGCTGGTATGTTGCTTTGAAAGAAGCTAGATGGCCCTGCAGGTTATGCTCCATTCTAAAGGACAGTCACTCATCAAGCACAAGCACACTACCACTAATGTCATAGACAAATTCCGGTAACACATAATATTCATGCAGGAAATACATAAAATGAAGGCTACAGAACAGATGAGCAGAAACTTGTTTAAAGATAGATAATTTTTCATTTTTTTATTTTAATCATTTTCATACAGATTGATGGCTATAACATCCTGGGAAATGTTATAGGTGATAAGAAAGCAAATATACAGTCAACTATGTGACAAGTTGCGTTATTAAGTAGAGAAAAAATATTTTTAAGAAGTCAAGATTATCAGTCATTTTGCAGTTCACTCATAAATCACTTGCCCATGTC